GCCCCAGGCCCTTTAATTTGCCCCTGAGCCCTGGGGGCTCCCAGCCACCTCTGCAGCTGGGAGCCTTGTGTTGATTTAAAGGGCCTGGGACTCCCAACCACAGCCTGTGTCCCAGGGCCTTTAAATCTTGAGAGGCCGCGCCTCTTCTGGATGAGGCCACACCCCCCCCAGGACTCCGGCAGTACCGGTAAATCCTGTAAGTTACTTTCACCCCTGCTTAAGGCGCTGATATCTTCTCACTCATGCCCTGCTACCAGCCTGTCTCCTTCAATTGAGTGCTGAACAGAACAGCAGTCATGCGTGAAAAAAGAAAACGCCCCTCTGGGGCAGCATTCAGAAAAAGCAAGCAAGCAAAGGAAGCTTTTCTATCTAAGCAGGAAGGAGCTCTCCTGAGATACATAGACACAAATGTTCACGGTGAGCCTTCCGGCCCCAGTGAGGATGTGAGTGGTGAGGAGATGCCTGATCGTCCAGTTAGTCAGAGTGCAGGTGACCTGGCAACTACTGCAGCATCCATATCTCCATCTCACATGGATATAACCGTGCACATTCCTGAAGAAAAGTGTAGATCAGAGAAGAGTGTGGTGGAGGTGTAAGAAACAGCTGCTGCTGAGTTTAGTTCCTTAAGTCTAGATGATCCAGGACTGTGGACCCACTTGAGCAGTAGCCTGAGGGACTTCCTTGTACTGCATGGGCCACAGCAAATGAAAACTTTCATGTTCCCCAAAGACAATGAAAATAGAAGTTTCCATCCAACACATTACTGGCGTGAGATCCCCAGTGGTGACAAAGTGGAGAGGCCATGGCTTATGTACTCGGAAACCCAGAATGCTGCATACTGGTTTTGTTGCAAACTTTTCCAGTCTAATGTTCCAGTCTAATGTTCCAGCCACATTGGGTTCTACAGCTCAAGTTAATAAAAACACATCTACGCTCCACACAGGAGAGGCCGGTTGGCCTTGCAACCATCTCAGTAGAGCATGAGCTGGCCCAGACTGAGGACCTTTAGGACTCAGCGGGGTAGCCGTATTAGTCTGAATCTATAAAAAGCAACAGAGGGTCCTGTGGCACCTTTAAGACTAACAGAAGTATTGGAGCATAAGCTTTCATGGGTGAATGAAGTGGGCATTCACCCACAAAAGCTTATGCTCCAATACTTCCGTTAGTCTTAAAGGTGCCACAGGACCTTCTGTGACCTTTAGGAAGCAGTTCAAATCTTTGCAACCTCTTGGGTGGGGGGAGGGATAGCTCAGTGGTCTGAGCATTGGCCTGCTAAACCCAGGATTGTGAGTTCAATCCTTGAGGGGGCCACTTAGGGATCTGGGGCAAAAATCAGTACTTGGTCCTGCTAGTGAGGGCAGGGGGCTGGACTCGATGACCTTTCGGGGTCCCTTCCAGTTCTATGAGATAGGGATATCTCCATATATAACCAAGAAGGCATGGAAAGCACCACTTTGATTATTCAAACAGATAAAAATCCCAGTATTTAGTATACAGACAAGAAAAATTACATTTGCTGTTCAGGCATTTGAAAGGTAAGTTTTACTTAAAATTTTTGAACAAGGCATTTTAAGTTGTTAGTTCTCCTTTATTGGAGTAGGTAGCAGAGCAGTACCTGAGAGGAGTAGAACAGGAAGAAGGCAGAATTGAGACCTTTCAAAGTTTTGGCCCAAGCAAGGGGGAATGGGGGCATCCCCGCCTCAGGTGCCAAAATATTGTGGGCTGGCCCTGGGTGGACTCCATCTTTTCCTAGCAGCCCTCTTTCCTGGCCCAGCATCCCATGGCCAAGGAAGCTGAAGCCCTCCCATCAACGCCATCTGCACAGCCATGCATTCATCTTCAGGATGCACGTGTCCCTGCCTAGGCCCTTACTTTCAACTGGGAGGATGAATGAGCACACAACCTGTGCCCCCTGACTCTTTTATCCTCGCTCCCAGAGCTTTTTGGTCACAGCTGATTTGTTGGGGTTTCTCCAAGACTACTTCCCCTCAGTTCCCCAAGAACTCAGTTCAACTGCAGTCTTGTCAGTTAGGTTCCTTTATTTGGCATAGAACAAAGCTACACTGAGTTGATCAGACTAATTTGTAGGGGGTGGATATAGGGTGTACCACACATCTGAAGTTACACACCAAAACTCTTCCTTTATATACATTTAGTGATTACGCTGCATTTACTATACATTGCATGTTTCAGGTCAGCTTGGTCACTTTGTAGGACCTAATCCCTTTACAGCACATACTGTCCATACATGGCTCACTCCATACCTCATATTACATTGCAGGCTTATCGTATCATTATATTGTCCATTGTAAATGGTTTCCTGGGTGTTCCCCCTTATCTGAGCTGGGACACAGGCATTCTGTTTTTCAGGCTGCTGATTCATTTACATCCCTAATCCTGTCTTCCAAGAAATGAGGTTTAACCCATGTCTAGTTACTCATCTTAAGCCAGGTCTACACTGCTCTGCTCAGGGTCATACCCAGCCATATCATTAGTATCCACGTAGATGAGCATTTCATAGCCTGGATGCTCACTGGTTGAACTCCTTGGAGACAACATATTCACAAGGGTCCAATCCATCCTAGTTAGTAGAAGAAAGGAGTCCAGAGAATCAACATATTTAGCTGAGTGGAAGAGACTTTTCAATCTGGGTGGCTTCTCATCACCTTTCTCCCACTCAAGCCAGAATTCAAGACATCTCGGATTATGAATTATGCTTTAAAATAGGACTTTCTATTAGCTCTGTGAGTTCGGTTAGCTGCTATCTCAGCTGTTCTCCTTCCCGTTGATGGCTTTTCAGTTTTTTCACGCCCATTGATACTGAATTTTCTTAAAGGATTGTGTGTATGCTCCTGTTAGAGGTCTGGTCCCATCTTGGAATCTAAACTTAGTTTGATGACACCTATTGAGTTTTCTTTTTGAACCTATGGCAACTTGCTCTATGTCACACCATTCTATGAAGACTGCATTTTTAGTGGCTATTACATCAGTCCGGAGAGTGTCTGAGATGCAAACGCTATTGGCAGAATCTTCATTTGTTATTTTTCAAGGATAAAATCTCTTTGAGGCCATATACCAAATTTATGTCAAAAGTAATTTCAGACTTTCATTTGAACCACACTGTTATTTGCTGCTGTTTTTGTTTGTTTGTTAGCATCATGCTAACGCAGGTGAGGAGAGTCTACACTCTTTCTATCTCCATAGAACCAAACCATTTAGAGTTTCTCCTAGACCCTTTGTGGCCATCCCAGAAAAACTAAATGAGTGAACATTCTCAGTACCGAGATTATTGCATTGGATGTCTTGCATAAGATCCTATTACGTCAGTCAGTTCATAACTCCTCCAAATAAGATAAGGATTCAGGCTATCTTGAGAGCCCTTCTAAGCAACATTCTTGACTGTGGACATCTGAAAGACAGCTATATGGTCATGTGTTCACACCTTCTCCAGACTCTATGCCATCACTCCAGCTTCACGAGTGTGGTGAGGCAGAATGGTCTCCCTCCGAACTGGAGTGCGAGGGACCGCTACACGCCACTGAGTTGGAGGAGCCAAACCTGCCCTGGCCCCCTCATCAGAAGTACCAGGACAGGAAGCAGAAAAGGAGAACCCCGGAGCTCAGTTGCTGCTGAGCCACAGGAGAGAGTGGACATCTCTTCTAGGGAGCAGACACCTCTGCAAGAGCTCGGCCCAGACCCAAGTGGACTGATGCCTTGACTTCAGGGGAGGCAGAAGAAGACCTGAGGAGCTGCCGGAGCTACCAGTGGCCATATACCCTGAGGAGACCGGGGATCTTTGGACCATGGGACTCTACACCCAAACTGTGGTAGGAAATAGCCCAGGGGAACCAGACTCTAGTCTGGTTCTGCTGCCAGAGTGTGAGTCAGTGTGTTGCGGATAGATTCCCAGCTTACTCAGTGGCAGATCACTCTGCCACTGTTAGGGCCCTGGGCTGGGACCTGGCGCAGTTGGGTGGGCCCGAGTCCCCCTACCACCTCACCCCTGGGGTAGTAGCCTCCCCACTATAGGCCAGGAGGTCTGTATTGGTACTCACCCACTGCCTGAGCCCCTAGACTGCTTTGGTGCTCACCCCTGCAAGAGCCGTAACTGTTTGCCGCCCCACCCTGCTTGAGGGCCTGGGCTTAGAGTGCTACAGCTCTGCCTTAAATACAGGCCAGAGCCCTAACTGTTTGCAGCTCTTCCCCGCCCAGAGGGAACCAGAGCCCAACTACAGACTGTTTGTAGTTGTCTGCCCCAGCCAGGTGGCTGTTGGCTAAAGATTGTTTGTGGCTCTGCCCAGCCCAGAGGGACAGAGCTCCTGGAAAGACTGCTAGTTAAAGGCTGTTAATTACGGTCTGCCCCAGCCAGGTGGCTGTCGGCTAAAGACTGTTTGTGCTCTGCCCTACCCAGAGGGACAGAGCTCCCTGATAGACTGTTCCTTGCGGTCTGCCAGTAGTGAGGCAGAGTGGCTTCCCTCCCTACTCGAGAGTGAGGGACCACTACAACCAGCCAGTGCTGACTTCAGCAAGTCTGTACTTCATTCCCTGTTCCCACTTCCTGCAAGAAATCCACTAGTGATCCACCTACAGTAAAATGTGATTGGGCAAATATACTAGTAGGAGGAAAAAATGGTTAATTGCCTTTATAGTAACTGTTGTATTTTGAGGTGTTGTGTTCATAAACATTCCCATGACCCTCTCTCTTTCCTCTCGACTTTGGAAGTGTCGTCATCTTTCTGGTGCGAAGGAAATGAGAGGGAGTCGGAGCAGCCCTGCTCTTTATGCCCTCAGCTACAAGGACAAAGACGTGGAAGGTGCATGCCCCACCCTTCGAGTGCACTGGGCACACAGACACCTGCAGTGGAATATAAATATATATATATATATGTCCACAATACATCTTGAAGAACAGCAGTTACTGGAGAGGTAAGTAACTGTTGTTTTTGTTGGTTTGTTTTCTGAACTCTTCAGGGTAGCTATGACACTAGGGAACACAGATATATAATTTGTATAAAATACAGAAAAAGGTATTAATTTTGTTCTAAAGGACACCTAGCAAGGCTGTGCATGCAAGACTTTCAAGAGCTCTCTCATACACACACACTCACACAAATATTATGTATATATGTATCCATCCCCTTCCTTCTCCTCCTTCCCAGAACAATTAAGCATACATTCAAACCAAATTATATACGGTTTTAAAGAAAAACCACCCGAAACATACATTCAAACTAGTTTTTATATTATTTTGTAGCTGTCACCCACACAAACACATTCATATCTGTTTTTCAGTATTAAGTTATGTAAAACACAAATGCGCACCCGCAGCCTAACCTAAAGGAAATCTAATGGGGTAATGGATAATACACGCAAGCAGGAAACAAAATGCAAGCCTAGTTTAAAACATTGTATATAAAAGAATCCTTTAACACTTTACATCTGTTTCAACAAACAATGTCCTTTTTGCTAAGGTAAAACTGTAAGGTTTCGGAATTTAAGGTATAGATGGAATGTAGATTTATTAAAATGATTAAACTTGGATTTAACAAATAAAATTAAATCAGCAATGGAGTAGTAAGGAAACCTGTATTTTTAATGCTTGGGAGGCAGTAGATACAAACAAAATGTTCTTAAGACTCAATATATCTAATGTGCTTTAGCGGTAAATATTTTGCATTAACAATTATTTTGGCCCATTGAGTGTATAGAAAAAGAAATTAAAAATAATCAAACACATAAACAAAAACAGTTACACATATAAATCCACACAGAGTAACCCAGAGTAAATTGTAAAGGACACATGAAAAAAACAAGACCACGCAGATTAGAGATTTGATCTGGATTTGAGAGGGAGCTTTGGTAGTTGTCAGTTTAGCATGGGTAAACAGACAACTCTCCCAAACCTCAGACAACATATTCCTCTGATGCCCCTTTGTTTTTCCAACTGTCTAATTAGTTTCTCAGGGGGGTGAGATGTCAGAAATCGTAAGTAAATAACACCTACAAAGGCATCAGGAGGATTTGGCATACATACCGGGGCCAAATGGTGAGATGGATCATTTCTGACTAAAATGAAAAAGATTGTAATACAACAAAAATGCTTCTCTTTATATGCTTAGTGGTATTTGAGAGAAGTACCTGAAAAGCAACAACTCTTGTTTCGTGGTAACCTAACACATAAATTGGCCCCTAAAAGTACAGCAGTAACTAAACATGAAACCTACGAAAATGGCGAGGTGCAGGCCAATATCCGCAATGTACAGCTATCCCCCTCCAAAACTGCAAGCCCAGACATTTTTTTTCAATGGCATCAACATCCTTACATTTGTAACAATAATTAATTATTTTGCAGACCGCTCTATAATTTATTTTTTACCATTTTATTTATCATCCAACTGAAGAGGTCCCAGAGAATTAATTTTTCTGCAGTTTATATCAAACTTTGCATTGTAGAGTGTCTTTAAAACTGTAACATCTAAGGCCTCACCCGCTCCCCGTCCCCCCACAATAATTTTCATTCTCTCTTAACCAAAGAGGACGTGGTCTTGTAAATAAAAAATACCAGACAACGTTTCAAAAAGCTATTATCCCAACTTTAAAAAAAAAAAAAGTTAAGCTTATTTTTTTAAAGCTTTGCCTAAATAAATTGCCCAGCGTGCAAAAAACACGAATCAAGGAAAACTTCTCTAAATCCAATTTACAAAGATAGGCCAAAACTGTATAGTAGGCTCATCATCTGCAGATTTTAAAGAACGTTTCAGATACCAGGGTGCAATGGAACCTCTCATTTACAGAGGGATTTTACAATAAAAAACATTTAACAGAGAAGCCATAGCTTTGCAACTTCATGTAGGGAGCGAAAGAGGGCTGTTGTGGCCAGCACTGTTATCTGAAGAAGGATGTCCTCCTACATCCACTCCATATACCCCTCCCCTCTTTTCCTGACTTGTTTTTCTAAAACTGCCATCTTCTCCATATCCTCCTGATGAACAGACAGCTTTTAGTCAAAGATCCAATGAAATAAGAAAGGACATCAAATAAAGTTTTAAAATATAAACTATCATAAACTTTTTAACATGAAAAAACAAGGCGTAGAAATAAGAGAGCTGGCCTGAATTTTAGTGCAAACTTTGACAACTGATAAATCTTAATTTAGTGAAACAGCTTTGTGTCCATTCTTTTTGATCTCTCGTGCTTTAGCATGGCCAAGAGTTTGTCAAACTCTCCTCAGTTTTATAAGGCATTATTCCCCCCCTGCCATTGTTTTGCCTAACTTTTTAATAATTTTTCAGGATGGCATAAAAGCATTATGAGGATTACCTACTTGGTGATGTTCTGTAGCAGTACCTGCAAAGCAACAATTACTTTGTTTCTTTTATCATCACATGGAAGGGGCCTTGAAGAATTAATTTTTCTGTTCTTGTATAGCACTTTTACACAGATTGTAACCATAGATACTTTACGGTGGTAAATAATACAAGGCAGTAGATGACAGACCTGAGAAACTGCTAAAAACAGTGGCCCACCACCCATATACCTAAAGTACCCCTGAGCCACAGACCTCCCCCATTTTCTTAAAATCTTCTCTTAAATCAGCCCCTCTTCCACTTCAACTATGCCTTTTAATTTTGCAAGATTAAAATGTGATCCTTGGTGTTGCATAACAGATTTATAAATATCTTAAAAGAAAATATCTTAAAAGATATCCTGTAATCAAACTGTTTGATTACAAGTAGCCAATGATGGCAATCTTGGAAAGCCACATGATCAGTTTACATTGGCAATTTGTATAGCGCATGGAATATATATAAGTGACTAGGCTGAAGTTCAACCAGGAAAAGGAAACACACTCTCTCCTCAAGACTGCTCTGCAAGTGGTATGTGCATATTTCTTTGAGTTTGGCAAAGCTTAGTATATTAAAACTTTCAAGAGATACTTAGTTGGCTATTTCTGGGAAGGGGAGTTAGTAAAAAGTGTTTTGTTTTCCGCCCAACAAACCGATTAAGGCAAAACAAAATATGCTCTAAATCCTACTAATGGGTATTTGACAAAATTATGCACCCAAGGTGGGTAGAAGAAAGTCATTTTTTCGTTGTTGTTGTTGCCTGCCACTGTTCAGACTATATGAATGTATCAAAGTCAATATTTCTCAGGCAGTTGGAGGCTGATTTTACTGAAAAATAATGTTGCTACAGTTTAAATTCGACCGCCTGTATTTCAAAATGACCAATGGAGACAAAATACATCTTACTAATGGCACTGGGGTTGTGAAACATTTTTCAGAAAGATTCAAGGTACTTTCTATCCTATGTGCTTTGATACTATCCATGTTTTAAGAGAAGGCATATGTCGCTTGCTGTCTTCAGCATGCTCTATCCTCCTTTCACCTATTTTCTGCCCTCTTGAAAGATGCAATGATCTCTTCGCCAGCAATCTTGTTCGGTGACCGAGATGTGTATAGTATTAATGATGGCAGAGTGCCAACTTTGCAACATCTCTTAGTGAAGAGAGGAGAAGCCGTGTGAATGGAGCTATGGCTTAAGTGACATGGAAACTGTAAATGGAGCATTATACGCATCTTGTAAGCGTCAGCATAATGAAGGCCTGATTTTTATGTTTATGGTGTGTGTTTGTTACTCTTATTATTTTCTACCCAGGCAGTCACATTAACATCAGTTAGTATGTGTAATGATAGGTCCAAATTTTGCCCACAGTGTTTTCCCTAGAAGTGGTCTGTCATGTTTCTGATTTGCAAGAAGGAAACAATATTATTAAAATCGTAGTCAGACTGGAGGCCCTTCAAAGACCTATTGTTCAATTATCAGCAAGAATGTGAGGGAATATAAAAGGTTTTCTTTTTACAGCTTGATAACTATTTACTTTAGAAACAAGAGACACACAGGCTTGCTTTTAACCTTTAGCACCTGCAGATTAGCGAGGCAAACAATAATGAGTTTCTATTGACATTTCAATGTCCCCAATACCTGTGAATCATAACATAAAAAGATGACTGACTAAATAAGGGTTTCACAGTCCTATATCTGCTGCTTACCGAAAATGGACCTTGAACACAATCACAATTTACTGCCCTGTTCTCATAACCCATCTTTCATTATGGTATAATTAAGATGCTTCTCTTATAAAACTTTATGGAAATAAGCTATTCCTTTATCTGAAGGAAATTCCATCTATCATGGGTAGTGCGTAGGACAACAGATGTTGATGTGGGTTCAAACACCAGGAATCATGTTAAGGGTGTTGCCAAGCAAATTACAGTTGCGCAAGTAATGGCAAAGTCCTGCCTTTGGAGAACTAAGAGTGCTGCCACATACGGAACAAGGAAACAATGAAAGCAGAGTAATATAAATGTACCTTCATCCCAATCCTATTATTATTATTTAATATATTTGTATCACATCAGAACCAGAATCCTCAGGCTACGTCTACACTGGAATACCGCGTGCAGATGTGGTCACCCCATCTCCGAAAAGATAAACTGGAATTGGAAAAGGTTCAGAAAAGGGCAACAAAAAATATTAGGGGTATGGAACAGCTTCCATACGAAGAGAGATTAATAACACTGGGACTTTTCAGCTTGGAAAAGAGATGACGAAGTGGGGGGGATATGATAGAGGCCTATAAAATCATGACTGGTGTGGAGAAAGTAAATAAGGAAGTGTTACTTACGTCTTCTCATAGCACAAGAACTAGGGAGTCACCAAATGAAATTAATAGGCAGCAGGTTTAAAACAAACAAAAGGAAGTATTTCTTCACACAAAACACAGTCAACCTGTAGAACTCTTTGCCAGAGGATGTTGTGAAGGGCAAGACTTTTAACAGAGTTAAAAAAAGAACTAGATAAATTCATGGAGGATAGCTCCATCAATGGCTATTAGCCAGGATGGGCAGGGATGGTGGCCCTAGCCTCTGTTTGCCAGAAGCTGGGAATGGGCAATGGGGGAAGGATCACTTGATGATTACCTGTTCTGTTCATTCCCTCTGGGGCACCTGGCATTGGCCACTGTTGGAGGACAGGATACTGGGCTAGATGGGCCTTTGATCTGACCCAGTATGGCCATTCTTATGTTGTGTGCTTCTCTCCCCTGTTGCGGAGTGAAAAATTCAGAAAATAACAAGGGAAAGTGAGTGACTGTACAGGGGAAACAGTAAAACTGACTGTAGTTAAATGTACAAAGTAAACAAATTGAAAAATCAGAAATGTTTTGTTTAATCTTTCACTGATGATAATCTTAGATGTTATGTGTAACAATAATAGCTGAAACATTTTCAAACTTTAATGATTTTTTTTTTAAGTTCATGGGTGCCTTTGATGGCTATATTTTCAATATGTACTAATGTACACTGTTTGAAAATGTCTGAAAACTGTTTGTTGGTGCCAGAGTACTTCCTGATTTTAGTCAGACCACCACTGAACTCAAAGGAAGTTTTGTCTGAGTAAAGGACAGACATCTCAGAATTTTGTTAGCTGCAGCAGGAAAATTAGGGCTAATCTGCGAACAGCAGGAAGAGCGAGAATTCCATTTCTGCAATAACCTCCATAGTATTTGTGTTGCGATGGTCTTGGATCACACAGGGAATGGATGATCAGAGTAGGCCAGGATGTTAGGTGTTGCTGGAAGATATGTTGGCCGCTAGTTAGTGGCACCCTTTCCTTTGAATTAGGAATGAACTATGCCCCCAATGTGATGTTAGGGAGAGATGGGCTTTTTGGATGAAAATTTTACACCCGTTCATAATTTGCACAGAAAAAACTGGTCCAAATTAATTCGTGGTCTATCTCTGTAGACAACAATTTGGCCTAATGTGTCCACCAAAATTATCCAGTTATCCAGTGGATAGCTTTGCTTCCAATGAAGTGAGAAACATGGCATTTCACAAAGAGATGTGGGGAACATTCCTCTAATTACATCACCACAATGACATTAGACGCCCTGACTATTTGTGACACTGCTAGTCCCTAACAGACTTTTTCAAACCGTTCCTTTTATTGTTTTCCTTTCAGCAATTAAACTTCTGAACTCATCTTGTGAAACTAAACATGAACACTCAGCCTGTCGTCTTTGTACAGCCCCAATTTTCTGTGGCTACTGCACAAAGTAATGCCTGGCAGACCGATTTGATGGACTGCTGCAGTGACTGTGGAGTCTGTAAGTGGATAGTCAAATATTGTATTTTTGTTTTGGTTTGAACTGTCTTGATGTTTAGATTGATATTCTATCTCCAGTCTTTTAGTGGGAATGATTTTAAATTGGGAGAAACCCATTTGTCTGATTTTATATTTATTTAAAGAAGTGGCTTGTAGTTGTATTTCCCATAGGCACTCTGAGAGCCAGTCACTAGATGGCTACATCACCCACTCACACACAAAGCAAGGTGTTGCTAAGTGTAGAAGACTGGAATGTCATTGCCTTGGTAACGTTGTTCAGATTGCTCAGCGCTTGTCCTGGGAGCTCCAGTGTTATCAATACTAGCAGTGCAGCCTGCTAATTCAGCAGGCCTCGATGTTACTCATAAAGAAAGACCACAGGCTTGGTTTGGTGACAAAGGCACTCGGCCACGTTTATTGCCTTCAAGGCACAATACTAGCATCCCATAGGAGCTACAGATATACTAACACGAGTGCCCAGTGGTAAGGAGCGGCTCAGTCAGCAGTGGGAATTTCTGCCATCCCCGTGGCCACACAAAAGGTTAAGCCAGGGGTCAGCAACCTTTCAGAAGTGGTGTGCCGACTCTTCATTTATTCACTCTAATTTAAGGTTTCCCGTGCCAGTCATACATTTGAACGTTTTTAGAAGGTCTCTTTCTATAAGTCTCTAATATAAAACTAAACTATTGTTGTATGTAAAGTAAATAAGGTTTTTAAAATGTTTAAGAAGCTTCATTTAAAATTAAATTAAAATGCAGAGTCCCCCGGACCCGTGGCCAGGACCCAGGCAGTGTGAGTGCCACTGAAAATCAGCTCGCATGCCGCCTTCGGCACACGTGCCATACGTTGCCTACCCCTGGGTTAATGCGAGGTACCCTGCCATTTATAGACTGGGATAAACAACTTATATACCACCTTGCGTGTTTCATGACCTCTTTGTTACTTCCCCTTGTTCCTGATATCTTGGGCAAAACATCCCTATTAATTATCTTGTACTAGATTGGGATGTATCGGTAGTAGCTGGAATATATTTATGTAAATATCTAGTGCCTAGTGCACTCGCAACAACTTTGCCAAGTTCATGTACCGGACAGTGAACTGGTAAGCATCTGCCCTAATACATGGCCTGACTTTGGTTCACAGCCTCTGATTCAGGCCTCAGATTTGCACCAGGCCCCCTCTCTACTACAGCAAGGCCCCCTAAGGCTAAGTTCATGCGGATCTGCTGAAGGTCACAGACCAAAAAAGGAGTGTGTTTACAGCAGGATAACTAACATGGGTTAGCTATCTTGCTGTAAAATCCGAGTGGAGGCAAAGTGCTCGTGTAGCTTTTAGCAATGTAGCTACACAAGTACAACTCTATCTCCCCCCACCTGTGGTTCACCTCGCTTAGTTACATCATGGTAAAAACTACAATGCCTCGCCTCTGCTGAGACAGCTAAAACATGTGTTATCCTACTGTAAAAACACACTATTTTTGGCAGTGAAGAAATGGCCAAATGAAGTCATTATGGGGGGCGAGCTGCCATTGAGGTTACACCCTCATATGACATCACTATTCGTTCAAAAGTCTTTCAAAGATCTTGTCCTCCTTTGCACTAGCTCTGGCCCATTGGCAGATCCCTAACTTTCTCCTTCCGATTTTCTAGGCATTTTTACATCTCTCCTAAAAGTGGTGGTGAAAGTTAACTGACTGCGTGAATGAAGGGGAGAACATTGAGTGAGCCTCATTTGTTTGTCTTTATCCAGGCCTATGTGGAGTATTCTGTTTCTATTGTCTTGGATGTCAAGTAGCAAGTGACATGAATGAATGCTGCTTGTGTGGCTCAAGCGTTGCCATGAGGACTCTCTACCGGACAAGATACGGAATCCCTGTTAGTTACTATCTAATATTTTGTTTTGCTCATGCTCAAAGAACAGCCCTTAAAGCAACATGTCATTGATCTAAGCAGATCAGTTGGCTACATTTTCATTAGCCAGCTTCCACCCAGTGTGATTCCTCCCCATCTGAACACGGCTGCTAGGAGTCTTCCCTTATGATTTGAGGGCAATGTGATCTAGAAGTTAGCAGAGGATTGGGCATCTGAAGACTTAGGTTCTACTGGCAACTGCCACCGACTCACCGTGTAACCTTGCACAAGTCCCTTAGCTCTTCTTTCCTTTGTTCTCCCCATCTGTAAAATAGATCATTCCTTGACACTGTTGTAAAGGGCTCTGAGATAATTTCATGAAAAGTATAAGTGCAATTATCCATTATTAATTGATGTCCCTTTAAAGTGGAGTTTTGCTACGTATCTGAGATAGAGAGAACCCTCTCTGATGAGGCATTGGTTGTTTAAATATCCATTTACATTAAATGGATATTGGATAATTTCTAATGCAGACATTGTACATAATACTAACCTGATAAGTAGTTTGGGCTAAATGGCGGTTGATTAGCTAAATCTTGACTCTTACTCCCTCAGCATGAATCTCTGAGCCAAATGTTCTCCCGATTAGCTGAAAAGGTGTTGCAGAATATAGACAGAATTCTAAAAATGTGGTTCAGTCAACAAGGTGGTTGTGTATGTGTTTTTTCAAGCTACAATATTGTAGTTTCTGGAGTTAACTCCTTGTGTACCATCGTACAAATAACAGAAAAGCCTAAGAAATGAAAAAATAAGATTAGATAATATATGAAAATTAAATGAATTAGATCACACTGAATTGGGATGTGTTATGAACACAAGAGAGGAATAATATGAAGTGACTGAGGAAGGTTAGAAATATGGCCATGGAATTCAATAAAGCAATAACAACACAAAGCTAAGGAGGTTTGGGAGATCTATGAAGAAATATTATAGGCTAATTTAAAAAAACCCAAACCTCAGCTTCTATGTAGGCACCTAAAAGGAATTGTCCAGATTTTCTAAAGGGCTCAACAGTAGCTTCAAAACCTGGCTGCTTCACTTAGGAGCCTAAATATAGGAGCTAAGATCTTTTAAAAGGTTGGAGCTATGTCACAGCAGGAAGGCAAAAGTTTCTCTATCTAGAAGGTATTTTTTCCCTGCTGGATCTTCAATAGCTGAAGGATGCAGGTGAATTGGAAGGAAATTCGAGAAGAGCAGTGAAACCAATTTGGAGCATGGATGCATTGACCGTTACGGAAAATTCAGAGCTAAATGTGTATACTTTTTGACAGTTAATAATAGTGGGGGCTATAACTGCAAATATCTGAAAGGTATAGAGCAGTGTGTTAAGGAGTGGTGGGAGGACTAGCGAAAGGATGAAGTTAAGAAAAGGAATAGTTTGGCTGAATATCAGAGAATACATCCTAGCCCTAAATGCAAATCAACTGGACACTAGACACCCAGTTTACCAGTTGAAAAATCCCACCACTGGAAACATTTTAAAATGGAAACTGGACAGAACCCCAGAGGTTACGCTATAAGGAACAATCCTGCACAGGTAGGGAGGTGGGGTAACTTGATCTAGCGGAGCGTCCAGTCTATTCTCAGTCTGCTAAAGCCTGGTTGTTACTGGGTAAACCCCACTTATTAGATAATTCTGCTTCCTAAATTTTGTAAATACCTTCTTTGGTGCCTAAACCAGCCCTCTTAAGAAGTAACTTGCTACCAGCACCAGTCTCTCTGCCTCCTACAGGAGGCAACTGGGCACACTTGATTTTTTTTGGCTCGCTGCAGTAAAAAGCAGGGTTATGGATAACCAAGTAGGGTTTGGTATCTTTTAGTTTCTATGAATTTAGGTCAAATAGTACTTTAGAATAGGATGTTTAAAATGTATTTTCCCCATAGTGGCCCTGTCATCCCACTCAAAGGCAGCACAGAAAGCCCATATGCTAGTCTGACTTTAAGTCCAATGTGATAAAGTCAACAAAAAGTTAGATGTACTTCTTAAAGTTACAGCCTTTAATATTTTTTTCTGTTTCAACAGGGATCCATCTGCTCTGATTTCTGTACTACCCTCTGGTGTGGTATATGCTCTCTTTGTCAAATAAAGAGAGATATTAACATAAGGAAGGAAAAGGGGATATTCTAGTAAGGTTTGTCACTTGTTTAATACATATTTGTAAGTGTTTGATAAACCAAGAGGCTTCTCTGATGCAATGTTTCAATTAGTTCTAGGACAAGTGGTAGTGATGATGGAAAAGTTAGCAAAATGATATGCAATCAATGAACAGATTTCTATCCAATATAGAGAGGAGTCCTGCTCTACCTGTCCTTGCTGTATCTAACTGAAGTCTGGCCGTCTATAATATGGCTTTACTTAAGCAGCAGATAAGCCTTTTACTTGACTCTGTGTTAAGAGGAGCCAGTAATAAGTGAAGTGCAAGTTACCAAGCCAATTTAAAAGGAAATATATAATCATTTACTATGGGCAAAGTGCCTGGCTGGGAATGCAAGATCACAGGCAGCAAGGACCATCTATTAGGGGGGGGGCGGGGGGGAAGAGCCCTGTTAGTGCACCACAGGTGGCAGGCATTCCACACTAGGTGGCACTTGCAATTCTGCAGTGGAATTTCACACAGGAATGCAAAACAAACAGAGCATGTCAAACACAAATAGAAATAGGTGGGTGTGTGCTACGAGGGACCAACATGGCTCAACAGTTGAGTGGACTGTGGCAGGAAGCTAGTCTCCCTTCCAAGAATTAGGCAGCTAGACCTGCTCTAGCAGTGCCCTGGCATTGCAATAGGTGGGGTGAGTAACCATTCCTTCATCTCCACCATGTAGTCTCACACCTGTAAAAGGGATTTGTTTGCTAGGACTTTACTCACTTGTTCGGGATTAGGCTTTTGATGTAGTTTTGTAGGATATTACCATGTAGCAGAACTTTACGTGATTGTGATTCTTGTGTTTGCACAAAGTTAAATAGTGTCAATTATAGAGAGTGTAGTTCGTGGGTGGCATTTTCAAAAGCACTCAGTGCTGAGCTAAATCTTTTTTCCATTAATACTCAGTCAAATCCTGTCCTCATACCTCTCCAGCCTCCTTGATTTGAGGCAGATTCATTAAAATACACAGCTATGCACAGTATATAAGCAATAATGAGTTTTGTATTGCTTGATTGCTTAAGTAAATTTCAAGGTAGTGAATTAACAAAACTAATGAATCACAGACCCCAAGGTCAGAAGGACCATCATGATAATCCAGTCCGACCTCCTGCACAATGCAGGCCACAGAATCTCACCCACCCACTCCTGCATCAGACCTGTGTCTGAGCCATTTAAGTCCTCAAATCATGGTTTAAAGACTTCAAGGTGCAGAGAATCTTCCAGCAAGTGACCCATGTCCCAAGCTGCCCTGGAGGAAAATTCCTTCCTGACCCCAAATATGGCCATCAGCTAAACCCTGAGCATGTGGGCAAGACTCACCAGCCAGACACCGAGGAAAGAATTCTCTGTAGTAACTCAGATTCCACCCCATCTAACATCCCATCACAAGCCATTGGGCATACTTACCGCTAGTAGTCAATATTATTAATCTCAGCCATGAATGTAACTCTTTTCTCCCCTATTTTAGATGTTCCTGTACTCTTTGGTTTTGAGGCCTAGAATCTCCCTAAGCAAGTCTTCTCCTCTCCTGCTGTACTTACAGTTCAAGAAAGTGCTGTATGCATTTTAATTTGATTGTTGCAAAGCACGACTTATCTGAAATAAATCAATAAAGTAAAGCAACATCAAATTTGTCTTTGTCTCACTTATTGTGCATGTATGTGTGTTGAGAAGCAGTAATGAAAGTTAAGTTTTATTGTATGTACTCAGCTGTCTTGGAGAGAGTATTCTCCTGTTATTAATAACTAACTAATGCTAGTTTGTCCATGGTATGCTCATTTCACTGGTTCTGCTGCCATCCTGCCAGAACATGAGAGAATAAACTCTGATTGTTAACTTATTTTCCTGCTCCCTGAATTGTAAGAGGGTATTTATTTTCCTGGATGTAGTAGATATCTAAATTGCAAATTCAATACAGAAAACTTGGAAGGTTAGAATTATATTGCATTTTCATACTCAAACTGCTAGGGATTATTAAAACATAGGCATCATAGGATAGGATGAATCTAATTGGCTCATTCCTCCCTTTATTGGAATAACCACAACTCACAGGAACATGGCACTTACATTTTCACAACAGCCAATGGAAAGTGACGAGTCCACAATTTAGTAAACAGGATGTGCAGCACAAATCTATCTTAAGATTTTACTTCTTCCTGTACTTTTAAACCACAACTTTCAAAACAGCAAAGCATATTTCTCATGCAGTGATACCATATTGAGTATTCTGACAAAACTTCAGGAGTTTTATAAAAGACTGTATAGGACTATAATTTTCAGGTGGTCGTTTCATAGTCCTAGTAGATTTCATCTGTACAGCACAGCAGGAGATTAATTCTAGTCAAAAGACAAGTATAGGTTTATTGAGCCATCTGAGCTTCCATTGCTTGTGCTGTCCATTCTGGTACTGTCTGACTAATCTTCTCCAGAAGGTTGTTAACTTGGAAACATAGTGACTGAATCTGTTTGTCCCATGTTGGCAGAGCTTCACGTGCTGGGGGGAAAAAAAAAATAATTTGCAAAAGCAGACTGATTCTTTGCAATTCTGCTGTATTTCAACTAAAAGCATTTTTATTGTTGTTTCACTTAATTATATGACAAAAAAGTATTGTCTATTTACCAGGTCTACTGTATAGTTATTTCTAAATTTAAAAGATTAAACGATTGGTGGCTGTACATTACAGAATTAGGTATTGCACCACAAAGTGAAAGTGGAGAACTTCCTACTCATAGGGTTACCATACGTCCGGATTTTCCCGGACATGTCCGGCTTTTTGGGCTCCAAATCCCCGTCCGGGGGGGAAATCCC